TTTTCTATTTCTCATTAAAAATGTGGCGACATAGGAATAGACATTTGTCGTTTGAATTGAAAAATAAGTGAAAATGGATGTGATTTGAATTATGTTGGCGCATTTTTATGGCTATGATTTATTAGAAAAAGAAGATGAATACTTTATGCGATTTCTTGTAGATATAAAGTATGTTCAGCGATTGTCTAGGATTTTTGGGTAACCTAGGGATGGTTTTTAAGATTACTTGCAGTACACGAATTTTATTTGTACCTCAAGCTGTAAAAGATTGATTTTCAACCCTTGCTGTACAGGTTAGGATTCGATAGATACCTGCTCTAGGAATTTTTTAAGTATGGGAGGAGTAAAAGTCCCCAAATTCTGAGTCTGATAGAGAGCAAGTCATATGCCTAAACTTGCCTAAACTAACAAAGAACAAAACTATGGCATCTTAATACAGTGGGGGAAATAATTATAGGCGAATTGATATTTTCAAAATTCTCGAAAATATAAACATTTTCAGAAAATATGTTCTATGTGAAATTTGTGCAGCTTAATATGACGAATATCCCAGCGAAAAAATTTTTTAATTATATTAACTAGAAAAAAAATAACGGCCATTTTTTGAAAAATATGCGTTTCGCAAGTGGAAATAATTATAGGCGAATTTTGAAAAAAATTGTAAAATTTTACTTTAAACTTGAAATTCACTTGAGTTTTCAATTGATTAAGTTATTTAAACATTGTATCAATCCAATTTGACATTATACGCACAATAATTACTGATTTAAATATATAAAATTTGGTCTTGAAATTAGCAAGGAATAAAATTGCAAAAATCAATGTTTTACGCCAATTTGGCAACGATAACTCCTCGATTGCATATGAAATAATTAGATTTTATTGCAATTAATATAGCTCAATAAAAATTTGGTGAAAACATAGTCAGAAAAAGTAAAAATAAAGAAAAATTTTGATCACATGGCCAATACAAAATGAGAAATTTTTAAAATTTTCACTCAAATGAAAGTTTTGGCTACAAACTAAGGATGACTTCTACTTGCTTTTATCATATCTATGTTTTAAAGAAGATATTAAAAAGATTGAACAAGATATATTTGCAAAAAAACGCAATTTACGAATAAGCGCATGATTATAAAATTCTCGTTTAATGCAAGCTTTTAAATTCTTGTTAAAATGATCCTAATAACACTCAAAACTATCAGTTATTACATAATTTGTCTATTATCATAATTAAATATTAAATATCTTAAATATATTAAGATACTATAACTTTTTTTAACAAATTATGATTTTGCAAGGTCATGTGTTCCAGTTGACCAAAGTTTTTACAATTTTTGCAAATATATCTTGTTCAATCTTTTTAATATCTTCTTTAAAACATAGATATGATAAAAGCAAGTAGAAGTCATCCTTAGTTTGTAGCCAAAACTTTCATTTGAGTGAAAATTTTAAAAATTTCTCATTTTGTATTGGCCATGTGATCAAAATTTTTCTTTATTTTTACATTTTCTGACTATGTTTTCACCAAATTTTTATTGAGCTATGTTAATTGCAATAAAATCTAATTATTTCATATGCAATCGAGGAGTTATCGTTGCCAAATTGGCGTAAAACATTGATTTTTGCAATTTTATTCCTTGCTAATTTCAAGACCAAATTTTATATATTTAAATCATTAATTATTGTGCGTATAATGTCAAATTGGATTGATACAATGTTTAAATAACTTAATCAATTGAAAACTCAAGTGAATTTCAAGTTTAAAGTAAAATCTTACAATTTTTTTCAAAATTCGCCTATAATTATTTCCACTTGCGAAACGCATATTTTTCAAAAAATGGCCGTTATTTTTTTTCTAGTTAATATAATTAAAAAAATTTTTCGCTGGGATATTCGTCATATTAAGCTGCACAAATTTCACATAGAACATATTTTCTGAAAATGTTTATATTTTCGAGAATTTTGAAAATATCCATTCGCCTATAATTATTTCCCCCACTGTATTATAACCAGATACGTAAGTAGATTCAAGCATGATTTTAGTCACTCATTGTCATCAGACATCAAGCCAGAACATAAACAAAAATTCACAATTGCTCCAAAACGCAACAAAGCTAAAAAATTCAACTTTAGAAACTTTTTCATGATCAGAAAGAGTTGCTCATGAATTTCTAAAGTGATATTCGCCTTTTTTTATTATTTCATATCATTTTCAATTCTGCTTTGTTTCGAACTGCACAAAAAAGTTAAGAAAATTCAATGCTTTTTTTGCAGCTTGAAAAACAAACAAAAGTCAATGGCATAAATAAGGAAAAAAAGATTTCCTGATTTTTCCTGAGTGCATTCATTATGTCAATTTTATTGGGAATCAAAAGAAAATGTATTTTTATTTATGGTCTGATAAATTTTTGTATGATGCTTTTAAAAAACACTGAAAATCGACACAGAGATGAATTTGGAAGAATTTGCTAGGGTTTTTACTTATCGAGGATGAGTTTCTAATTTTTCAATTACCGATTTTAATGTAAAGTACCCCAAAGAGCTCTTAAAACCTGTCCCTTTATTTCATTAATATTTAATCCAATTCAATTATCACAAATCACATCATTAACTGAGTTAATTCAACTCATTTCCCAAATGTCCTCAAAAATTAAAAGTCCAAAAAAATTACAACAAGTTCAAGTATGACACAGCATGAAAACACCATGATCCAGTATAAATTCACAAAGCCCCACTGGCTCAGCAAGCAACTAATGAAGTTAGAATTGTGTAAAGAGGATGAAAAAGAAAAACTCATTTGCTGACGAGCTGTTGCTTGACAGACGTTGACAAAATACAAAAAAAAATTATTTCATTTTCATTCGTGCAGTTAATTCTGCATTTTCATGGATTTTAGCACGGCATTTTGTGATTAATCAAAAGGTTTTTGCTTGAATTTAAAGGCAAGAGTGGTGAAAATTTCCTGTCGGTAGAAACTGAAAGCTGGATGAGAATCAATTGAGAACAGGAAAAAAATCTTCTTCCTTTTGTTCTTCTCCGTCATTCTCTTCATCCTTGGATTATTGCTCATCACAAGCAATCTGATAAAGTAAATTAATTTACTTTACTTTTCATACTCGCAACTTGCACAGAATTCAGATGAGATTTTCGTGTCGCTAGATGATGAATCTTCTTATTTTCTGTTTTATTCCGTGCAATGAGGAACATGATTTCTTTTTCTTTCACTTAATTAATTACTTTCTTTTTGTTTTCCTCCACAAACTCTCTCTCACAAAATCATTTCGCGCAAATTAAATTTCATTTGCAGTTGGAAAATATTTAAAGAATAAAAGTTCTTCTTTTTCTTGCACTCGATGTGCCTTTTTTGTTTGCTGGAAGCTAGATTTTGTGAATTGTTGTGTATGAGTTGTCTAGTTTGGTCTTGGATTGAGGTTTGTCCTTCATTTTTGAAATTTTTGGTTCTAAGTTTGTTTAAAAATGCGAAATTTTAATTTGATCTTGTAAGGTTAAACTTTATTTATTTAAACTAGATTTTAAGATCTCGCCAAAACCTAGTTTTCAAAGTCAAATGACCAATTCAAGTTTCAAGCTACGTAATTTGAACTTTTCAACATAAAAACCAGCATTTGAAGTCGACTGACTGCAGTCTGATTCAATCTAGATAATGTTCAACTGAACCCAAATCTCAAAATTGAAATAAAATTTGTATGAAGTCTGGTCAACTTCAAACTCTGCCTCAAACCAAATCTATCAAGAACTCAATGACATTATCGTGGTCTAGATCAAACTGCACTCTTATCACTCATTGACAGCCACTTTTATCACTTACTCTCCTTCATCCCCACCGTAAATTATGTCAAGATGCTGAAAAGTCCATTGTGTGTCATTTCTAAATGGCGAGTCAGAGGTGTGAGTAAAAAAAGAAGAAGAAGAAGAAGTAAAAAAATAAATGCGGAGATAAATAAGTACATTAGAATGTGAAATGAAAGGAATTATAATTAAACGAAGCAATTTAACTTTTCAAATGGACTTCTTTTTTCTGTGCTTCTTAAAATAAATAGAAATGCAAGCAAAAAAAGGTATGGAAATGAGAAAAATAAGACGTTTGCTTATCTTAACATCATGTCGCTGTCGACATAAAGCTCTGCCAAAATGTGCACTGAATAAGCTATTCACATTCTTATGAATCGTTTTAGGGATTTCGGGATGTTATTTCTAAAATAATAAAATTAGCATTTTGTCCTGTCTTGCATATAATTTTAAGGGCTAGACATGGAGGATTCCAATACGAAGCAGTTAAGGCTAAATTAGCCGTATTGTAACATTAATATTTAGTATCGATATGCCATAATCATCATGCGTGTGAACTCACACGAGTAATTTTAAATTCAAGAAATATTTTATTTTGCATGAAATTTTATTATTCGAACAGCAGCAAGGTGAGCAGTATTTAGCATGCGAAAAAAAAGAGTCTTCTTGTCTTCATTATCATCGCTGTGGGGGAAACGGAGATGAGATTGTTGTTAATATTCAACAGCAATGTAGGAAGCATCGTGTTATCTGTAGAGGAAGGAAGTACGCAAAATGAAAAAAACTCAGCATTGATTATGATTATTCAAAAAAGACCTCTTTTTCACTCGTTTTCCTTTTCCCACTCTCATTTGAAAAAGTTCTCACGATTTACCTTGAATTTTATTGTCAACAATGGTAATATTCTTAACAGATAAGGATTAAAAAATTGAAATGACTTGCCATTTTGGGGATTGTAATGGGATCAGGATAGAATGTTAAAGGTTAGAAGAAAAATTTCTTTAAATGCTTTTAATAGCTTTGCGAAAAAGTTTTATACATTTCAACAATTTAAAGACTTATTTCAAAAAGTAACAATCATGTGAAATTTAAATGAATTTTCAGAAGTGAAAAAATCAACCGTCAAATTTAAATTTGAATCGAGTATTTTTTTCAACCGTTCTTTAAAATTCAAAAACTAAGGAGTAGGAAAAGTTGTTTTGATAAATTTGAATAAAATTATTCTGTGCGATAAAAATAAGTGGATTGCAGTGATTTACACAATTTCACAACATGGCATCTAAGCCAGGCAAACCAAAGTTCTTTCCAGTCATCAGTTCCATCCAGAAAATTCGTGTCTATGAGACGAAAACGGTAAAAATTTATTTTTTTCTTATTTTCAAATTCTAAATGGGCAATTCTAATTCTACAGAAGAGTTGAATTTCTAAAATTTCAGTAATAATTCCTTCTCTACTTGAAATTACAAATTTTAAAAGTTTGTTACAAAAAATGTAAACAATTCGTTTGTTTACAACAATTTTTTTTTGTACAGATAAATTTAATAATATTATTGGAATTCTAACACATATGCAAAGTCATCAGATTTAAATGAAAAAGAAGAAGTGAACTTATTGAAGAAACATCCATAAAAAAATTTTTAACGGTTTTTTAAAATTTGAAATTTGCTTCTGGAAAGATGCGCTTTTCTGATACTTTAGCCCACTCGTATATATGCCCACTGGGCAATTCCACGAGTAAAGGGAACTGAGAAAAAGCAAGTTATAATATTTTTCTACTTGTAGTAATTTGAATTTTTTACCGTTACAAATTTTCAAAAGATTCAAACTAATTTTCATTGCCTTGATTACACAATGATTCAGATTCGGAAAAAATGTTCAAAAATTCCTTGTGCACAATACTTTTCCGAGACATTAGAAAATTGAAAGTTTTTGTTAATTTCTCTTGATTTGAATCTTTTAGCATCTTCTTGATAATGTTCTCGTTCATTGCTCAAAAAATCAGTCCTTAATATAAAGGATAAACATGATTTTTTACCAAAACTTTGTAAAAGTTTATCAAAAAATATTGTGCATGATCAAATTTTGTATGAAAATTGATGTAAACTTTGATCGCAAATATCTCGAAAACGGCATCAAACGGCATGTCCCTAGTTGTATGGGAGATAGATTTAAGCTTAATTAATTGATTTGTATAGGTTTCAGAGAGGTCTTTGGAAGACTTTTTAACTTATGAATAGTTTAAGTTTTGTAAAAATACTCAGATTTCAATTCATTTTTAAGGCTTAATAAGCAGATTTCTATTGAGTTTGTTGTTTTAATATGTAAAGCTAAGCTTAAATTAGCTAGCAACTGCTTTCAAGACATCCAAATAACAACTTAAAGTAGAAAAAATCATATTTTTTTTTCATACACAAATTGTAAACAAATTTTGGGTGAGATTAAATTAATGATTTCTGGAGTTAGACATCAAATTGGGACGAGATATTTTCATAGGATATGCCTTAAGTTAAGATCTTTAATCTGGCATTTAAAAGATGAAGTTTAATTAATATGTTATTTTTGAATTTTTGAACATTTTTTCCGATTCTGAATCATTGTGGATTATTATTACGATTATTACACAAAATTATGATGATAACATGAAAAAAAAACAAATTAAATTCATTATTAACCCAATAAAATGTTATTTTTCGAAGAGAAATTATTATTAGCAATAAATAAATTTGACGGAAATTCAAAATTCAGATTTTCTGTTCTTTGTTGGTTTTGGATAAAGCGCTGAAAACTTAACCGATTAACGCAGTATTTTTTAATTTTCTCTGTGAATAAAGCATTTAAGAACAGAAAAAGTGTACAAATAAGTAGAAAAAGTGAATATTTATGGCTTAAAAATATACTTGTGCACAAAAAATTGTTATTTGAAGACTTTTTTAAGGATATAAGAAGCAAAATTTTCGTAAACTTAACCGATTAACGATGAAAAAACTGAATTATTTCAGTAAATAGACCTTTAAACGTTTAGTTACCTATTTTAAAATGAATATCTTGAGTTATTACTAATTATAAATTTTTAAAAGAACGGAAAAGGTGTTATTTTAAGAGTATTTTGATCAAAAGAATTTTACTTGCATTTTTTCACTCATGGAATTGCTCCACTGTATAGTTGATAAAAGTATTTATGTTCAAAAAATAATTTTTAACGCATTTTTGAAACTTGATTCGGTACATTTTTTAGATTTCAATTTTTAGGGTTTGAGGATTCAATTTGCCTATCATCTCTTAAAATTTGATTTAATTTCTGTTTTTGGTTTTACTTGATGTTTAATTTGATTTATTTTGTGTTTCGCGATGCAAAAGGACTGTTTAAGTTTGCTTTTGACTTTCTGGCATAAATCTCTGGCTATTCTCTTCAGGATAAATTGCGAAAACAAATTGTTTCAAATGAATTTTTGGTCGTAATTTTTCACTAAACTTAAGGGTTTCAGTACTCAATATACTTTTGACCATTTCAGATATCAGATAAAATAATAAAATACAGTTGCACAGTATTTGGATAAACCCTCGAAGAAGAAAAAGGAAAAACTAGATTTTGACTAAGCGCGCCCTTAGTCTACAGTTGAAAATGTAACTATTTAGACGTGTTCCCTTCACTTTCACACTACACATTACTTTCGACAGTGTTGCTTTTAGCAGTCTTTAAAGCTTATGAGGGAAATTAATTCTGCCTTTATATTCCAAAGTTCCTCTCTGTTGATGGTGTCATATGCTGCACGAACTATTTATTGTTATCGTGTACATTTTACCTTCTTTTAAAATTGTAAACACCAAATAAATCAAATTAAACATCAAGTAAAACCAAAAACAGAAATTAAATCAAATTTTAAGAGAAGATAGGCAAATTGAATGCCTCAAACCCTATAAATTGAAATCTTAAAAATGTACCGAATCAAGTTTCAAAAATGCGTAAAAGTATCAGTGGGCTAATGTCGGTAACCCACTGTATTGAATGTATTAAATTGAAGATTTTAACTTTTCTTATCATCTAAGAATAACTTTGAAGGAACTTTAGACCAAAAAATAAGAAATATTTGAAATTTTATGTAAAAATTTCCAAAAAGTTATATGTAGAATTACCCAAATTTAAATTATCCACAGAACATCCAGTTAATTGGAAGCAATGACAAAGAAACCAGGTTCAGAATTCTTCAAATAGCACGCTCACCAGAGCTACATATTTATGAAGACCCAAATGAATATGATTTAAAAGAAATCAGGAAGATTATATCCAATATAAAGTATTCAAAGTCAATCTCGGCTTACGGGATAGTAGGATTTGTCAGATTCCTTGAGACTTACTACGTTATTCTTGTAACAAAAAGGCATAAAGTTGGTTTTATCGGAAATCATATTATTTACACAATAAAAGATACAACAATCTACAAAATAACACCAGATTCATCTAAGAACTCGTCAAATCCATTTGAATCAAAGTATCTCAGGATGTTTATGAACGTTGATCTTAGTTCCAATTTCTACTTCTCTTATTCTTACGATCTTACAAGAACTCTCCAGCATAATTTTTCTGTGCCTAAGTTTGTTGGTGAAAATGCTGATGTCACAGTAGAGGAACCGCTTGATTGGAACAATGAGTGTGAACGAGAGGACAGAATGTATGCATACAGAAGTACATCCCGTAAGAAATTCGTCTGGAATGAGTTTTTATTGCAACCGATGCAAAAGAAAGTTCTTCACAAAGACTGGATGTTGGAACTGATTCATGGATTCATTAATCAATCAGCTATAAGCGTTTTTGGACTTCCAATTTATGTCTGTCTAATTGCTAGACGTTCTAAGAATTTTGCTGGCACAAGATTTCTCAAAAGAGGCGCTAATTGCTGTGGTGACGTTGCAAATGAAGTCGAGACTGAACAAATTGTTAGTGACGGACAACGATTATCATCGTTTGTGCAATTAAGAGGTTCAGTTCCTGCACATTGGTCACAGGATATTAGCAAGATGGTTCCCAAACCACCAATTTCATTAGACATTCCAGATCCATTTGCTGAGACAGCTGGTAAACATTTTGAGAAGCTTCTATTCCATTATGGAGCGCCAATAATCGTCCTAAACTTAGTTAAAAGGAAGGAAAAGAGAAAGCATGAGAGCATATTGACTGATGAGATTATGATGAATGTCGAGTATCTTAATCAATTTCTTCCAGCAAATGTGAGTTTAAAACAACTTAATTATCCATATTTCAGTTTTAATCCTCAATTTAATTCACAGTGCAAAATCCGGTACACACATTTCGATATGGCAAGAAAGAATCGATCCGATAAGAATGTTATGGAAGCTTTGGACGGAAAAGGTAAGACTTCGATAGCAATGACTGGAATTTTCTATACAGATAACAATGAAACATGCTATCAGACTGGAATCATTCGTACGAACTGCGTTGACTGTTTAGATCGAACAAATACAGCACAATTTGCTATGGGACGATCTGCATTAGCACTTCAGCTTCATAAAATGGGATTTTTAAAGGCTGATTCTCGTCTTGAGTTTGATTCCGATTGCGTGACAATGCTTGAATCATTATATGAGATTCAAGGTGATACATTAGCTCTTCAATATGGCGGATCGCAATTAGTACATAGAATTAAAACATACAGAAAGACATCAGCATGGATGAGTCAAGGGTCAGAGGTTGTACAGAATTTGTCGAGATATTATTCAAACACATTTTCGGATCAAGAGAAGCAACAAAGCATTAATTTATTCCTCGGTCTGTACATTCCGTATGAAAATGATAATGGCGAACATTTGTGGGACATGACGTCAGATTATAATCTCCATAATCCAATTGAAAATGGAATAGACAAGGAGAAACAGCTGACGATGTGGTACAGTGATCTAATTCGCAAATATCTTCCACAAGCAACAAGTAATTGCACGAAAATTGTCAAGGAACTGATAAGGATTCATTCATTGGATCTAGAAATGATTGATTTATATTCAAATTATCATTTGACTTATAAAGTCACTTCCTTAGAAGAGAATATTGCATACCAAATATCTCAATTCGCTAGAAACTCAATGGCAACATATAGAACACATTTTTCACCATTTGAACCGACAAAGCGAGCGACTCAACCAACAGCAACAAAAACTACATCGTCAATTGAATCTATAAGCTCATCAGATGAAGCAGATTCGACTAGTGACGAAGATGACACGCATTCTTCATTAAAATTGTCAATATCTGATCAACGTCAATCTGAAAAGAAATCCTATTTCGATGATAATGTCCTTAAAGACTGTAAGAGCATTTATGGATTTGAATTGGAACATCCAGACAAAGAATCGATGGCAAAATACAAGACTTATGTAAATTTTCAGAAGAAATCTCATCCAATTGCTGAGAAAAGTGATAAAAAGTTAAAGCCAATTGTCCTTGAAAGTACAGGAATTTATAAGGATTCCTCGTATGAAGTTCAAGAACCAAAGGTGACAGAGAGCGATAGACACAAGTATGAAAATTATTGTAAACTCATTATTAATCCAGAATATGATGAAAGTTGTTCAAGCAGTGACATCATTGAGAAGTATATTAATTTTAAGTTTGATGATTAAGCTGCATTGCTATCAGATATGAATTATAAAGTTGTGATATTTACTGAACTGACTTATAATGCTGCTAGTCCTGGATGCAGAATGATTCAGGACTAGCTGAAGCTTCATTCCCGAGTGGACAAAGTACTAGAAATTATTTTTGAAATTCACACACTTGATTGATTAGCATGAATGTCCAGTTAACGTCTAGTTCTGTATGACGTTTAAATTTTGGCAAGTTAAAAGAGTGTTAAACGATTGTCCAATAATGGACTTTAACTGGCTGTGTCCACTCGGGATTTATTTTACAAATTGAACCATAGAATTCTTATGTAACCTTTTTTGGTGAGGGGTGTATTTTAAGGCTAGTTTCATTATATCTAAAGTCTTGGTACATCGAGAATAAAAAAGAGGACTCAGCAAGACATTTGAAAGTCCTAAATGCTACAGTGTAATATCTAGAACACTAGAACACAAGATCCTGTTAATGATAAAGATACATCGTGCCAATATATGAACAAAAGCAAACAAATTTTTGATTCAATAGTTTCTACGTTAAGATAACTAAAAGTCTAGATCTCACCGAGATGTGTCTAAATCTACATTGTGTTAGAGTTTTTGACTCCTAGAAACTAAGATCAATACAAATTCTGAATATCTAAGCAAAACAAATCTGTAAACCTATCTAAGACACTGTCTTTGACTGTTTGATAAACTAAAGTTTAAAATGTTAGCTTTAAAAACACTTTTCTTAAATATTTAGAATAAAAAGTAGGCTACCTCTATTAAAATCTACGTCATGATCTTCAACTTGCTTCAAAAAAGCTCCCAAACCACCCTTTTAACGGAAAATTAACACAAAGAAACCACACGTCATCCGCAAAACATCCTTGCTAAAGTCAGTATCAATTAATCTGAAAAAAACATTAAGCCACAGCAGAAGTAAACAGCCTCATTAAATTTTTAAATTTTTTTTTTATTTTCTTCCAAGAATATTTGTCGTTTTTACATTTACAGAAAAAAATGTTTTTTTTTGTGATTTTCTAATATTAATACATTAAAGAAATAAGATTGCATTAGAAATGTTTTCACTTTTATTAATGAATTTGTTAGTGGATTGGTACATTTTTTCATTGTTTCATTTTTCCTTAAAATTCCATTAAACTTTCATAAATCTTATTCTTAACAATCTATAAAAAATATTTTTTTTTCTTCTTTTAATTTTAATTATCTTCATTTATATATCAATCATCTTTTAGACTTTAATTCCATTTTCTTAAAAATTCGTGATTATATTTTCATCTATCAATTATCGTGTGTCTAAATTTTGCGTAGTAAAAATTCTAAAAGATCCTTTTTAATGAAAAAATTTCGAAACTTGAATTGAGAAGTTCATGGTTTATCTTGGCAGACACTTGGTTTTGTAGTCAATCATAATTTTCTAAACTGATAGAAATTAGCTTGAAAGTTACAGACTCTTACTGGAATTAATAATCTAACCTAAGACTGTTCAAAAGATTCTTAGCAAATCCCTCTCAAATGAGGGTGGAGGTTGGTCATTTCACTAACGTAGCTTCATTATTGTTGGATACCTAGCATTCCAGTAATTTGAACAACCTACAAAAAACAAAACCTAATCGATCTACACTTTCTCGAACCAACAGATTCCAACGCAAACCATGAACCAGCCAATCAAGTAAGATAAACATTTTTTTTCTCATTTTTTTCTTATAATTTGGTTGTTGCTTTGGTTTAATTTTAATATTAATATATACTTTTTTTTATCATACATTGTGATATTTTTTCTTTATTAATTATTTACACTAATATGTTATACTTCCGTTTAGAGAGAAAAAGAAATTATATATACGTGACCCAGTTAACAAATGACTGAAATCGTTCTATAGGAATGGCATTAGAAGATGTTTAAAGAGACTGAATTTGAGGGAAATCAGTCATTTTGAAATATTTTTTTTGGGATCAGTTTCAATAATGGTAACTTTCATTTTGAATGATATTATGGCAGAGGTTGAAGTCGATTGCTTGAAAGGTACGTAAGCGTTATTACGGTAGCTTCTTGTCTTCATGACTTTGTTGCTATCATGTGCCTACCAAGTGGAGCCTCTCGAGACTCAGCTCTCAACTGCTCTGATTTTTGGTCAAGCTTAGTTCCTTTAGAATCAGTCATCTGCTCAATGGATCTTATCATTTAACTTAATAGAAGATATTTAAATTTAATTTATAAAGGAATTTCTATGGTCATCAATTTGTTATTGCTTTTTGTGATTAAAATTATATAAAAAGTGCAATTCTTTTTTTTTTGTAAAAATGGTCCTTACACAATTATTAATAATAATATTTTCATCTACTAAATTTAATTAATCAATTAATGCAAATAAACCGTCAACAATATTTATGCTAGAAAAAAAAGATCCCCAAAAAATAATATAATAATATGATAAAAGTTACAGTTAATTGAATTGAATAATAATGCCTGCTATATAAAAGCCATTTGTTTTGTTGCTGAATGAATTAATTACTTTCTCTTGAACTAATTTTAAACTTTTTTTTTAAAAAATGATTAATAATTATTAATTTTTGCACTACATAATAAACGTAATATTTTATCCTTTTACTACTTAATGTTAAATCTACTTTACTTCCCATCCAAAAATTTGTTTAACAAAAATTTTAATTTAATTTATAGCACAATAATTGTAATAATAATAATAATAATATGGAAATATTTATGTAAAATTATTCAAAAACTTTATTATTATGATATGAAAAATTGGGAGAATTCAAGGTCAAGTGCTGAAGTTTGTCATAGACAGCATCATAGCTATAACAAGTTGTTCAGAAATTTCAGATGGAAAATTGCTTGTAAGCCTCTTAAAATGCTCTACTGGCTATATACAATGTGTTGTTGTTAAGTTTGCAAACATCACAGACGTACTTTGTAATCTATCTACAGTAGAGCTTTGACCATTCTCAATTAACTTTCACATTGATTGATTTTCAATTAGCCTTGAGATATTTTCAATTGGGATATCTCTTGAAACTACAATTTGGACTTTTTGTTATGGATTATTTGAGGAAGAATGTGTTGACAATAATGTGAGGCATGCTTTGAGGTTCTTATGGAAGTGTGAAATTCAAAGTTGGTTTTAAATTCTCTTCAATTTGCATCAGATGCGTAGCTAGGGGATTTTAAAGTTCTTGGGCTTTTTATGTTTAAAGTTTTTAAGTTTAAATTGATATTCTTAGTCCTACAAGAGTTTAAAAACTGAATTTTGAAGAATTTAGCTCTAAGAGCATCTCCTTTACTAGTTTCTTCCTACAAACTTCTGTAAACACAATTGAGCAAGTCTCTGCATTATTTTAAACCATAACAAATAATAATTCCTGTAGCCAAGCACTGAATTCACATAACTTGACGCAATTATTGAAAGGATTACCCAAAATTCAGCATCTGTCATCCTAATATGCAAATTATGGCAACATATTTGGTCTACGGTTAACATTATAATCCATTTATATTGGTTATGGTCTCATATCCTCTGCATGAATAAATTTTCCATCCACTCAGAACTAAACTTCAACACTTGACCCAAAACTAAAAAAGAACTTATTATCGTAATTATTATTTCCTCCTAAAGCTTAAACATCAATGATAACTTTATCTTTTCGTTCACTATCAGAATCACTATCAATTTTAACATCTTTCTCTTTAAAAATTATATTTTCACCATTCACATTATTATTAGCGTCATTTGAGTTTGTATTAATTTTGGTTGCATTTAATTCAAGTCCACAGAATGATGTGAAGATGTCGAGTGATTTGGTACCGTTCTTTAAAAATGCAAAGTGGAGCTCGCTGTGCTCTTGAAGACGTTCAGCAGTTTCGACTGAGAAATCACAATGTTCACATTTATGAACTCGATTAACGTTACTAATTGCAAAATGATATTGCAAGTGATTTTTGAGTACGTCCAAAGATGTAGCTTGGAATGGACAGTAGAGACATTTTTCATCAATTTTATTCTCGTCAGTTGGACTTGTCTCAGCATCTTGAGTCTTTTTCTTGTCATTCTTAACAACCCAAACATCATCACTAGCTCCAGCATCATCAAATCCATGCTTGATGGGATATAATTCAGGATTTGGGTAGTCTTGCGCTTGTTTATATTTTGCCATAAACTCTTTCGTTTTCTCTTGATAATATGACGTATGTACAGCACTATGTGCCTTCACATTTGAGTCATCGGACGATGAGAATGAACAATAATCGCATTTATGAGTAGCTGAGACTTCATGCAGTTTGACATGATTTAATATCTCACGCAATGACAAGTAACGTGCTGGACACATTGAGCAAAAATGCATATATTTCTCTGTAGCCGTCGTAAGTTGCTGCTCTACTGTCGGCTGCTCATGATTTGATACATTTCCTTGCAACTCGTTCAAATCATCACCTATATTAGTTCCACTTGCTGCATGCATCTTCATATGTTGATTTAATAAATGACGTTTACTGACATTATACGAACAATATTTACACTGGTAACTCTCATTTCGACTAGGCTTATGAAATGACGAATGATATTGGAATTGTGATTTGGAATCTGTTTCATATGGACACATCTCGCACTTATAGCGCTTTGCTTTCTGTCCAAATTGATTTAGGATGAGTGTTGTGGCATCACCGGATGTGAGTCCTTGTATTCCTTGTGGCACAAAAATTGTATTTGTTGGTATCTCATTCTCAACCTTATCGTGATCCTCAACACTATTTATCTCTACTTTTAACATTGATGCTAGTGAAATTTCTTTATTTTGATTGTCGACTAATTGATGTGCCATTTCCGTTGTCGTCGGTGGAGACATGATTGTGGTAATGCCTGATGTGGTCGGTGTCATAACAAGTGTAGGCATTCGTTGTGGAAGTATGATTGGTTTAAAGCCATTATCAACATTTGATGCGGTCAATTGTGTGTGCAATCCTTCATGCAACGAAACTGTTGTTGGCAATGCCGCTGATGATGATGTTGTGGCTTGAAGAAAGTTATGGTGCTGTTGTTGTTGGTTGGATTGCTGTTGCTGGGGATTACGAACGACGACTTTATCGCTTTTCTGACCAGCCACCTCGATGCGAATGTCCCCATTGTGCTTTAAACGGCAATGACGCTAAAAAGGTTTGAGAAAAAAGATTGCAGGAAGGAAGAAAAGAGAGATAAAAATGGAAGTTAGTGCAATGATAGTAAATTGGCAAGTGATTAATTGTTAATGTGAGATTTTTTTTTTTTTGAAACTGAAGATGGTTCAGCTTAACTTAGCTTAATTTCCATCTTGAGCTTCTGTGTACTAATTCAAATGGATTTAAACTATAAAGATTGAATTTAAGCAGCTAATTACACAAATCTGATGACTTTACATAATATGAGCAGCCATAAAACTTGAATAATAAGCTACTTCTTAAGAATCTTTATAGTCCAAAACATCCATTGAAATAAAAGTAGAGAATATTGAAGTTTTAAGAACCAAAACCATAAATTTCCTTCCTTTATGCTACTCAACCCTGCCAAAAAAATAACATTTGTGAGACAGCATAGAAAGCATTGTGAATTAATCAATATTCGTTCGATACTAATGTATACAGATGCAAACTATATTCAAATATATATATTTATATCTCTAGATGATTATTATAATAGATGACATTGAACCATTATACCCTTATAGCTATAGAGATTATTGCTTATGAGATAATTTTGTAGAAAAGATTCTGTTGATTTTTTGTTTACCACAACCGAATTGAGAGTAAGGAAAAGTTTTAATAATTGTGTTAATTTTTGGGACCTTTTCCTTGATATGTGTGCTGTTTTTCAAGTTCAATGTCAATTGAGTTCAGGGATTGAATTTTTGAATTTTAATCTTTTTTGTGTGCCAATTTTGAAATGTTCATTGAACTATTTGACATTGAACTAACCCGAACAACAACGAGGTATCCATAAGGAAGCTATATTAAGTTTAAATGTACTTACTAGGGTCATATTGACTTACTAGGTTTATATGTCCTTACTAGATTCATATGTCCTTACTAGGTTCATATGTTCTTACAAGGTTCATATGTTCTTACAAGATTCATATGGCCTTACTAGGTGCATATAAACATACTAGGTTCAATTAAACATACTAGGTATGAACTAAACTTAGTGTAGCTTCCAAATAAAACCAAAGAATATGGACCTGATCAAAAGAGATTAATCAATCACGTCCGATCAGTTCCACATCCTAAACGTAACCTCGTGCCATTTGGTTTGTGAATTTCGTACAAAACTTATGAGTAAAAATTTAAGTACAAAAAAATAGTGGTTAATAAAAATTATTAATTGTTCAAGTATGAGTCGCTAGCTTATATAGACAAAAATATTTCATGACCTAACTCTTGTACTCAACCACAATGTCTTCTGTCGTAATCATTCTCCTTTTGCAAAATATATGAATTTTCTTCATTTCGTAAACAGCACAGCAAATGTGCAGTATTTTGTCAGGGGTGGGAAGAAGGGCAAAATTATTTCAATTTCGTTATCCACAAACATATGCACATGTCATTCAAATTTATTTCTCTTGAGCATTTTTCGCGGTTGTTTTGACACTCGTTCTGTGTAGAGCACAGACATACATAATGGTGAATATGAAAAATAAATAAATTTTTGCCATTTATTGATCGTCTCATCTCATTTCTGCTTGTTTTAATTCTTTCCTTTATTGAGAATATTGATTATTGAAATGTGGAACTTAGAAATTGAGAGCTAGTTGGTTATTATTTGTATGAAAATATGCTTATAACATTTTGTTATACCCTAAATGAATATTCTAATCTATAGAATTTTAATCTGTTTACATACACAACACAGCTTTCGGCATTATCAGTGCCAACAATTTCGTAATCATGAATTTCTAAGAATTTTGTATCCCCTGAATTGATATTAAAAATTCCAAAAGTTAACGTACACAGCGATACGTAAGGACAATGCACAATAAATAGTAACAAAAAAAAATTTGTTTGTTTCATAGTTTTGGAGAGTAAGAGACTGTCTACTTGATTTTTGTTAGTATATACCTGAATAACATGCTTCCAGTTAGAAATTTGACCACAATGCCCGCAACGAAAAGAGCCTTTCAACGAATTATTATTACTATTCGTCGAATTCGTCTCCGGCATACCGTTATTATTTCTATTAACGTCATTAGTAGATGACGCCGGTGTCAAAAGAGTGTTTTGAGAATTGAAATTGAGTGTTTGGTGTGTATTTGACGGATTTTGATTGCTAGCTTGATTGGTATTACCACCACCACCAAGTGTTATAAGATTTCGATTATGAACATTTGATGTACCCGACGTATGACCATTTAGCAAGTTGCTCATAATCTGGAATGGCATTTGAATTGGTATGGGAGGCGGTGGAGCCAGTTCGGTAGCATTTGAAGCTTGCTGTGTTTGCTGACTTTGTTGTGTTGCAACGGTTCTATCTTGTGGCGTTCCATCGTCACGATAATGTGTCTTCACATGCTCTAGAACAACCTCACGATCGCCATGCCTAAAATGATAATAAAAAGTTTTTTTATGGTTCATATTTTGTGTGATAAATCAAGACTTGTGGTGACTATTTTTTGAATTTGACATACTTAAAGTTACACTTTTTGCACTTGAAGTGGGTCTTCTTTTCAGCTGATTCCTTATGCTTTTCTTGTGAATCTTGTGCTTCTTGAGCCGCTTGTTGTTGCTGTTGCTGTTGATGTTGCAACAAATTTTGTGTATTTAATGCTGCAACCATATTGAGACTCTGCAAATTCTGAAGATTCTTTAAGAATGTCATGTCCTTTGACAGATGTTCCAAAAGCATTGAACTTAATTGTGATGAGCCTGTTGATGCTGTTAAATTTAATGCTGGATCTGAATAAACAGACAATGGTGTTGATGCTGATGATGGAGGCGATTGTACATTATTTTCTTGGACGAGCGATGATTTTGGAGAATAGTTTAATATTCCAGATTTTGAAAGCTTTCCATCGTGTTTCTTATCCATGACTCTCATCAATGTTATATATCTATTGTATTTTGAATAATTCCGACGTCCAGTTTCATCATTCATTAGAACTTTAGCTTCTCCATGTTGTGGATCACGCAATAACTTTAGCCTAATATGCTTTGTAATATCCCAACGCCAGTTTGAACGATATGCACATAATGAACATTCAAATGGTTTCTTATTCAAATGTCCAACAATATGAACATGAAAACGTGATGCTGTTGATGCCCAAAACGAGCAATGTGGACATTTGAAAACTTTCTTCATGGCTGTATTAATTATATCGTCTCCAGCTTCAATTTTCTTTGTAATTTCACCATAGCCTGGTGCTGATTCTACGCCTAAATATTCACTGTCTGTTAAATTTGGCGGTTCCGGTAAATCATCATCCTCATTTACGACCAAATTATTATCGTCTGAATCATCATTTTTATCCGATGCAAGTGTTTGATCATCATTTGTTTCTGATGGCTCCTTCTTCGATTTCGGCAATTGATTCCAAATGAAAACTCGATTTTCCATTGGATGGCGCTCATTTGGATTGTCAATTGCTGCTTCATCACTCATATAGTCATCAATTGGCGTCATCTTTTCATCACCATTGGCTTCTGATGATGATTCGAGCAATTCAATTTGTGCACCGGGACATTTTAATATGTGTGCCATTAAATCATGACTTGTCTTAAAACGAAGACGACAGTAATGACAACGAGTGGATCCGAATAATTGCGAATGTGATGATTCCGACTGTTTTCCACACGCTTTCTGGTGAATTATAAGATCCGATAGCGTCTTTGCCTCATAACTACATTTACAAACAAGATTTTTATCTTCACTTCCTGTCGCGTTGCCCTCAATTAAGTTCTTCCGCAGCATATCAAAGAATGAACTTTTCTTTTTTAATTTCGCAAGATTGTCATTCGTTCCACTTTTATTGACACTCTCGACGCTTAATTCTGGCTTGGATAATAATGATGTGATGATTTTATATTGCTGTAAGTCAGATTCAATGCCTTCTTCAGCACTCGATTGATTCCCATCAGAATCTGATTTATTACTTGATGCGTGATTCATTGCCGATGTGCTACCTGGCGTCATTTTAATTGGAATTAATGGTGGCATTGGCTTCTTTCGTTTACATCCAGGACTTGGATTTGATCGTTGATCATCTTTTGAATTTGACGATTCATTCTGGAAATAGTGATCGTTATTTTGCATTATATTAGAGATGGCAAACTACAGAAAAAAAATAACAAAAAAAAAGAAAAAGAAATGAAGAAATCAGAAAAACCAAACCGAAAAAAAAGTTTTGAAAATAATTTATAATTAAGAAAATAAAATAAGATTCAGGATGTAATAATGCTTAAAGAATATTATGAATGGATTCAAAAATTATTTGATAAATCAATCAATTTAATATGTATGATTTCCAAGAATGTCTCAAAATAAATTTAAAGCATCCCCAATTCGTATTCATTCATCCGTAACAGAAAATTATGTTTAATGTTCTTCTTCTCACAAAATATATTGTGAATAATTTATTGAATCTGCTATTGAGATGTTTGAATTATTTTATAATTAACAAATTTCTCGCTTCAAATATTCTTTAATTGAATTTATATTTTGTGTTAGGTATAATTATATAATTTTGGTATTTTTTTAAGCATTTAAATAATAATTAGTGGTCTTTAAGGTATGAATATTGAATTTTTGCAATAGATGCTTTAGCTATGTTAATAAAACTGGATAGATTTAAAAATGCAAGTAAGTTTTCATAATGGAAAATTACTGAGACGTTCCTGAGCGGCACAATGTGGACATTAAAGTACCTACAAGACTTTTTTTTATTATTATTATTTTATTTTTGAATTAAAAATATTTGGTTGTGCTTAGCTGGCTCCTCAAAGGACTAAGAATCAAACAATGAGGTCTTTAATGTAAGATTTAAATTGAAAATTGACTGTGATTAAAGTAGGGTACCTCACGTGGCTCTAGAAACTAGGTTTCTGACAAAATAGTGAACTTTTCAAGCAAAATTTACTTTACCGACCAATCAGCACCGACTTTAAGATTCTCCTAAATTCTGATCTACGAGCTGTGGTAAGTTTTGATCTCATAATCAGGACCGATCGATATTTCAAGAATTTAATGCAAAACTATGCTACTTAGTCACTTCAATTCACTCAACATTTGAATAATAATGCCAATAATTAAAATTAAAAATTTAACCCATTTAACCCAAACTATTCGAGCAGCTTTAAAGCAACACAACTTAATGTGCCTCAAAAATTCATGAAAAAATGACAAATTTCACTCAAATTAACCAACTGCTCCTCAAAAAAGCAACTGCTGAGCATTTTTGTAAAATGAAATATTTTCAGCAACAACTTAACTGTCAAGCACGATTCACTTGATGTTGTGAAATATTTAACGAAGTTCAAGAAGAAAATTGTCGTAATGAATTAAATTAAAGAACAACATTTATATTTCCTCAAATGAAGTTTCATGTGTTTCATGTGAAGTAAATAAATTAATGTTGGAAACATTAAATACGTACAGTCGTATCATTTATGATAATCATCATCGTTATAATATATTTTAATGTTCCTCATTTCATAATGCTTGACAAAATGAGGTGGGATTTAATTTCAATAAATTGAAAATTTTTGGGGAGGATATGAAAATTTGATAATCTTGAAATCAATATCAATTACGTCTGAATCCATTCCGCAGAAATACTAAAGACAAAAAAAAAACATATTTTTGTAATGAAATCATTTTGTGAAAAATAAGAAAAAAAAGACAACAAGAAAAAATGTATTTTTTTTAAGAACAGAAAGTCTTTCTTCTTATTTATATCTTACTCACCATATCAAATATGTTAATATTCTCTGGTGGTGTATCGTCAATTGTTCGTTCTATATCCATACTGTTTGCTAGTGGTGGTATATGATGATTCATTTCATGTACAGTCAAACTTTGCTTAATGTCAGCTGTAAAATTACAGACTGAACATTTAAATGGTCCATTTCCGCCATGATTTTTCATATGTCGATCAAGATTCCATTTGTACTGAAATAATAAAATTGATGGAAATTGTTTGTGAGTTCGGTGGATTAATTAAGAGAATTAAGGAACTTTGTTGGAGCATTTTAGTGCATTTTTGATGGAGAGTACTTTTAATAGAATCATAGATACTCCATTTGAGTCTTCAGGCCCTTAGTCCTCATTGATCTAGATCTAGAGTCTGTTTTGGATATCAATATACAGCAGTGTGAGGTTTTAATAAAATGTAAATATGACTACTTGGGAAAAAACCTCAGATAGCCCTAGAAACCGGTCTTAAGATGGATTGACAACTTCTTCCCTTACCACTAAGTGACAATGACTTAGTTTTAACTAATCTACCCACGTGTCCAGCAAGGTAACTCCATTCAAGAATCTAAATTCACAAAATGGACCTTAAAAATCTTGAGATAAAAAATTTTCACGTGCCAATGCAGACGAAAAAAAAATAATTTGGAACATTTAATGACTTGCTGTAAAGTTTTGAATTATACCTCGAGTCACAAAAAAGTCTGATTTATGAAGTCACGAGCAACTGCATTCGACATTAAGTAAAAGTATAATAATAACCCAATTTATGTTCGCAAAAATGCACTAAATTTTAAAATGATTATAAACAGCAATAAGCTAACTCACCGGAGTTCTAAAATCACATAGAGCACATTTTATCATGGGCATTGAATGATATTTGACATGTTTATTAAAACGTGCACTTATGTGTGTAACATACGAGCATTTTTTGCATCGATAAAATTTCGTGCCAGCATGCTCATCCTTCTCATGTTGAATTAATTGTGCCTCTTCCATTGATGAAAATTCACAGAGAATGCATTTAAAAACTTTTGTGCCATTTGGTGAGATATTCATAGATATATCTAAACTGGCCATTTCGTCATCACTTGGAATATCTTGTGGTAGAGATTCTTGATACTGATTCTGTAATTGTGCTTGTAACTGCAATTGGAGTTGATTCTGTAACTGAAGCATTTGATTAATTGCATTCAAATCAACAGTTTTTGATGCTGCTGCCACTGCTGCATTAGTCGATGATGATGGTGAATAACTTGGCATTTGTTTATGCATTTGTTTTTGTCTTGCGTCAGCACTTATACGTCTACGTTTCTCGCGTCGTCGAAAATGTCCAGGCTCATTTATTCCCTCGGTGGAGCCATGGACCATTTTCATATGTCTCACGAGCTTCTGATAATGTCTTGATGCGTACAAGCAAAATTTACATTCGTTTATAACAATCTTTTCACCGTGAACGTCACGCAAATGTACAAGAAATTTCCTTGGATTTTGTGTAAAAAATGGACAATTGTTGCACGAGTAATTTCTCTTTATCTTACATTGTGGTAAATTTGCATCCGAATCACTTTTATTTCCCGACAAATTATCGTCTAAATCGTGTCGTTCGTGTTGCTGTTGCTGAAAATTATCAACACGACTTTGATCGAGTTTAAAATTAGCAGCCTGTAATGTCAAGGCTGCAACAACAGCAGCTGGCAATGAAATTGGCAATGGATATTGCGATTGTTGCAACTGATTATTACTATTACTACTATTATTATTATCACCAATGCGATCTTCTTTTGGATCTTTTCTCAAATCCAATAATGCGTTATTATCACTGTTATCTTGAACTGCCTGACCACGTTGATCAAGAACCAATTGTTCACCGCTTACTACACGACGTACAATTAATGTGTCGCCGGCACGATGAACCATTGATGGAGCTGAGTCCATTTTGGTTCAATCGGCATGTAGACTTGTTGACAATTCGATTTGTTTATGAGCTCCTGAAATTAGATGAAAATGAAGAAATTATTAGCAATTGAACTTACTTTTGGGATAAAGTATTTAAAATTTAAGAATATTAAGCTTGTTTTGCAAATTATAATATTGGAGTACTTCATAAATTATGGTAATCATCTAGATAAATTCTTATAATGATGAACTGAAGCTTAGAAACTAATCAAGAATGTGGTTTTTGATCTTAGCAAAGTTATAATAGTTGATCTGATGTATTATAGACATTCTGTCAAACTTCTAATCAACACCCATTGGTTAGATATAATATCAAGATACAAAAAATCTTAAGAATGCATGTTCGATTCCCAATTGAGTTTACAAAAGAAATATTCGATTTAATTGAATTAAAATTATTATATTTTATTAGGGGTCGTTAATTTATCACGTTCATGAAAAAACCTGATTTTTAGACCCCCCCCCCCCCTCTGTCACAAAAATTCTATAGAAAAAAATTTCCATTGTTTGAACTGTCACAAAATCCTAGACCCCCCCCCCCCCCACTTCTCCATAAATGTCGGACGTCATAAGTGAACGGCCCCTTAGTATAGTGAAGTTTTAAAGTATTAATAGTAATTTGAACTTGTGGCCAACAAATTTGGTCCTTAGAATTACAGCTTAAAAATCTTATTTACGACCATAAATGATTCACAAAATGATGACTCACGAATCTTTCACAATAACATTTCATCATCACCAATAAAATCATTATTTCTATCATTATTTCTATATTAACCAACTCTGCAGTTCTCGTATGTATCTATTAATTTCACAATATGTGCTTTTGATGATAAAGAATGAGCAAGAAAAACAGAAAATCTGCCTATTGCATTATCACAAACAAAGAGAATTCTCGAAAAACAAAATTCAAAAAGAAAAAAGTCAAAGGAATTGGAGAAAAGTACAAAAAGATCAATTTTGGAGTATGCTCAAATCAAAAAACACAAAAAAATCCTTTCTTTTTATGAAAAATTTCAAAAGTGAACTGGAAAAAGAACTTCAAGAAGAAAAGAAGAGAGAAATAATTTTTTTATCAAGTGTTTTCTTGCCTATGTGTGTTGTGTGAAGAAATGTTTCATAAAATAACGCTTATCAGTAGAAACAGCACAAGACGAAATTGAAATAAAAAAATTTTTTCTGTGTTATTTTGTAACAAAAAATTTGTTTCTTTCTTTTTTCCTTTTGAGACGAAGCACTTTTAATGGGGCAACGCTCATATCTCTCGAGTTTATTATTTCTCTTTTTTTTTGGTATTTTAAGGTTTGTGACGAAATGCTAAATTCTATACAGAGTCATAATTGCTGTTACTGCTTATCTCTCTTTTTTGAGTAATTCTTTCTTTTCTTTATTATTGTTATTTTTCATTTCTTCACATACATAAAGTCTATAAAGTCTTTGTAAATTCTCTTATTTGTATGTTTGACGGATCAAAATGAAGTATTTCTATGTATTTTCTTGTGATCAAGTTACAATGACAATGTGACTTATTGGAGAAGTTTAATGAACGGATAATTTGATAAACGGAACTGCTTCCATTTACTTTACATTACTTTAAATATTATTCAAGTAATATATGTGCAGGTTATTGACCTAGATGTGATTTTAAGAGTAATGGTTTGATAAGTTATTTTGTAATTCTTAAAATTTGATTCATTGTTAGTCATGTGCTTGTATCACAGGCCCCCTTCTCCTTAGAGTGCCACTGTTGGAATTTTTCGAAAGTTATGCATTCCTGTAACCTCTGTGTACCCTCTTATGCGTCCTCCCGAAGAACCTCCGCTAAGCTACTACATTATTTGAATATTTATATAAAATCTATCTCTAGGATGCTGAATATTAGTCCTAGATGATTTCTACAAGTGCGTATTAAGGTCTTTTGTCATCCGGGGGCAAAATCCAGGTTACATATCCGTGCTATGCCTCTGCCTTTACTAAAAATCTTATCTTAGCAGATGTTGATTTGTCACAGTCATAATTACAAATTTACAGATAGCATGGAAAGAAGCTGTTGTCTTTGACAGTATTGGATTCGGTATTATGTATAGACAAAAGGAACCCAGTGGTTGAGCCAGTTTCTAAAAGTGGCTATTGAACACAATTCATCTTTCTGACCAACTAAGGAAGTAAGAAAGCTGTTTTCTATATGAATCTTGCTAAGAATCAATAATAAATCTATTGTTATGCACTGCTTGTACACAGGAGACAGCTACTGAGCTCCAACTTACAGAAATAATTTTACCTCAAATGCAAAAAACAAGAAGACACAGTCTTATGAATTTTTAAGCACTTAAGTTGCTTTATAAAAATTTTTATCTCTACAGAGTTTTCATCAAGGCCATAAAAGCGAATTTTCCCCAAAAACAAGCATATAATTACACAAATGTAAAAGAAATCTGTGCGAATGATGAAATTTTATTTTCGGATACTACTTCTCTTGTGGGACTTCATGAAGTGAAACACAATGATTGAAAAGAATAAAAATTGACAGAAACGTGCCTACAATAAAAGCAACTTCATGTCAGTGCTTTTCTCGTAAAAAAAATTCTGAGAACTCATCGTATGCACGAGAGACAGTATTCATCTTTTGGGAAATGGAAATTTCAAAAAACATTGTTGTTGACCATTTATTGAATAATTTAGTGATGGAATTAGATTACTTTAAAAAAATTTGAAATGCTTAGTTTCAAGGCAGGGATGAAGTTGGGAATTTTACGAATTTTGGAGGGTTTCTGGCATCTCGAGAGAAGTGACGATCTCTCGAGGGAGTACAGACCACCCTGGCTTCACCAACAAGAAGATCACAATGCTTAGTCATCTGCAGCATCTGACCTTTTCACTACCAAATGTTAAAACAAACCACAAAAGGCCTCAACAATAGAGAAAATACGAATTCAAATTTTCACTTCCTTCCGCTTCAATAATTAAAATTACTTCATCGTTCAAAAACACTTCAACGAAAATGAAATAGTTCAGTAAATCATAAAAGCTTCCGAATGAGAAATGAGAAAATCATAAATTTACAATTAAATTTGAGCAAAAAAATTTATTTATTTTAGAGAACAACATAAATACAGCCAATGTGCATAAAAAGTTTTTTTTACGGCATTGCAAATAATCAACACACAAAAAAAGTTTCATTAGAGGATAAATTTTATGAGATTTTATATATATGGAGGAAGGCTAATGCTTTGTGATGATGTAGAGACTGCAACATAAAACTTTGAAATCATAAAATTAAGCTCACACAAATACAACTGATTACGTGAAATGCTGAATGGAAAATATCATTTATGTTTGGTGAAATTGAAGCATGGGCGTGGGGCTCGTTAGGAATTTATATCATGAGTTTAAGTTCTTGAAAACTCTTTTTGGTTTGCCACAGTTCTATATTGTTGGAATTATTTATTGTTTTCAGTTATCTGGTGATGGGAGTTGTTAGGAATGGAGCAGTGCTTCTCAACTTAGATTAAGCGCTTGATACTTAGACACTTATTCATAGACAATTGAGTACCGCATTGGCACTCAGAGTGACACTATTGAAGCTTTATCGTCACAATGAGGTGTCGTGAAGCATAGTTTGAGGAGCACTGAGATTAAGAGACAAGGTTAAGTGTTTTCTAGTCTTATACTTAAAGATAAATATTATCAGAAAGCGTTTATGGATGGAGCTGAATTTAGGTGACAATAGAAGGAGTTCTAGCTCAGCTGAGTCAAGGATTATTCACAAATGAAATCCAGACTGTTGCAATTGTAAATAATTTCGGAATATAGGACTGCAAAATTACAAAAAGAGCCTTTAAAAATCGAATAGATAACATTTGTGAACAACCAGCAATTCCAAAAATTTAAGAATCACTTAAGGGGCCGTTCACTTATGACGTCAAGGGGGGGGGGGGGGGTCAGCAAGAAAAAAGCAATAGAAATTCCAGGAAATCCATTGTTCTTTTTTGAAAAATGACTGTTAATTTCGGACGTCATAAGTGAACGACCCCTAATCTCATCTGATTAATTTTTCAAAATCCGACAATAGAAGCAACAAGCTAGAAACTCTCAAAATATTTCAATACAAATCAAAAACTGAGCATTCACAGCACCAAATCATGCAAACTTCAAAAGGATATTTTCCATCCAATCAGCAATAAAATGTTAGAGTTACAAACATGCAAAGAGTTTATGAATGAAAATTACCATTTTTCCTTTCTTTCTCTCTCACTTAATTGGTATATACTATGTGTTACTATTAATGTTAGAAATTATTATATCCACAGTTATAATTTTTTGTGCGTATTTGTGTTAGTTGTAATTAGTATGTAGCATATCCTTTTTTAAGTTACGATGTAGATTAGTATAAATATTTATTAGTCTTGTTAATTGCACTAGTCATACACTTTTATAGTTGCATCCACAAAAAAATATGTTTGAATTATCCAGAAATTGTCTCACTTTTTAAATCTACACAAATTTTTTTCACTCCTTTATTTTGTCATACAATGTGTCACATTAAGAATTAGAGCGCTCTCTCTGTAATAATTGATTAGATTTTTGTCGTAGGGAATTATTATAACAACTATACTTCATATATAGCATTTACTTTTTTTTTTCATTTCTGTTTCACCATTTGCACGTAGTTTATATTATGAATATACATTCTCTTCTCTCTCTCGCACTCTTTAACAACAGCAGCAATGTAGGAATATCCAACACAACTACATTGACAGATTAATTTTGTGTACAATAATAAAATCCCCATGCAACATGAACAGTATAAAATTTTTCTTCTTTTATTTTACTTTTTTTTTCACACAAGCACTGAATTGAAAAAAAAAACAGAACGTCTTGCAAAACGTTTTTCCTCAACACCGCACCGCACACGACTGACTGAAAGCCGAGAGTTTCACAAATGAAAACTGAACATTTTCTCTGTGATTTTCCGCACCACTTTTAAATGTATGTGTGCTTTTCCTTTTTCTACACTGGCTTAATAGTATTTTTTTTCAACTCTCTGTGAATTTTTTTTTACTCTGCTGCTGCTGCCGCTTACTGCTTGATATTACTATGAAAAAATAAACTTTTTTTTTGTGTTTCATGTTGAAAAAGAATTCTTTTCGTTCTTTTCTGTTATTTTTTCGACACGAAACTCTTTTTCATTTACTTTTTATTCATTGCTTTTCCGTTCCTCCTTTTCAACAGCAAATAACACGTAATGAATGGAAAATTATTGTAAGAACTCTTATATTTTTCTGAGGAATTTTCGCTTTTCTTTTTAATACTTTTTTCTCTTGTAATTTCGACATGCATGCAATTTACATACATTTCTTGTATTTTACATTGTAATGAATAATTTCTTATAAGCTAGCAATGAGCAAGATTCAATGAGAAATGATTGGATATTAATTAATTTTTGTAGAACTTCTTTTCATTTAAGATTAATAAGATCTGCATTTTTTTGCATCAAACTAGCTTAAACCCCGTAAAAATTGCTGAATTAGCAGTGTTGCTGTCTAAGAATTTGCTTGTTTCAGGCAAAAATCTTACTTAGACACATGCTAATGGATTGAAAACATCTGACCTTGACTATTTTTGAACATGAACATTTTTGACATTAAAATGAATTTAAGGAGCTTCTTCGTCTTAATATCAATGATTATTAGTATTTATGATATGATTGCTCCTTTCCCTCCTTTCTTCCCTCTCCCTGACAGTGTTCGAAGGTCTATGTATGAAGCCTTAATCTTAATTGCTAAGTCTTTATTTAAACAACAATGTTTATCAAACTTATTTGGTTTGTGGCTCCCTAGTCGCTTTAACAGGTTTTTCAGGCACATTAAGCATTAAAAAAATTCTTTTTCAACCAGTAACAACTCATTTTTGATTTAAAACTAGTTCAATAGTGTCATGAAAGCTTTGAAACTAGAAAAATCTCTAGTGTATTATGCTTTGAGAACCACTTGCTTAAAATTGAGTAATTCATATTGAAAATGTCGTAAAAACATTTTCATGCAGTTTCAAGCTTGTCGATTAAATATATTTTCAATAACTCAAAATTTTGCCGACATATTGTACATCATTGGAAAGGTCTTTATTTGATCTTTAAAAATATGTTAATTAAATTAATTTTAAACCGGTTTTATCGGTTAATTTACCGGTTCAAACTTAGTGAGAAAATTAAAAAAAGTAAATTGGAATAACTTTTACAGTTTTCAACCATTTTCAATGATTCTTTTTTTGGCTGAAAGCCTATATATTTGCAGTTAGCTTTAACATTAATTAAATTTTTTCCAATGTATGGAACATCATTTTTTGCGGCCCCCAAGTTTTTGACTAAAGTAGCTCTTATTTGAAAACGATAATAGATATTGATTTCAAATTTTTTGCATGTTACTTGTATTTTTATTCCCTTTGTAACAACATACAATAATATGGGGTTCATTCATAAATTTTGACCAAAATTTACTAAAACAGCTCTCATTTGAAAACGATAATAGATATTGATTTCAAACTTTTTGCATGTTACTTGTATTTTTATTCCCTTTGTAACAACATACAATAATATGGGGTTCATTCATAAATTTTGACCGAAATTTACTAAAACAGCTCTCATTTGAAAACGATAATAGATATTGATTTTAAACTTTTTGCATATTACTTGTATTTTTATTCCCTTTGTAACAACATACAATAATATGGGGTTCATCCATAAATTTTGACCAAAATTTACTAAAACAGCTCTCATTTGAAAACGATAATAGATATTGATTTTAAACTTTTTGCATATTACTTGTTTTTTTATTACCTTTTCAACGACATACAATAATATGGGGTTCATCCATTAATTTTGACCGAAATTTACTCAAACAAAATTTCATACGAATTTTTCATAACACATTGTTGTTTACAACGGTTTGTAACTAATTCAAAAAATATCTTGTTATAATTTTTCAAATTGTTTGTAAAAGTTATTGGTTTTTTCAAGTTTTTTGGCTTTAAGTGTTAATTGATTAATAATGGCTAGGAAAAAGCGTGCAAGAAGCCGAAATTTCTCACAACAAGTTTGTAATAAGATGAAACGTGCGAAAGGAGAGGAATATAAATCAAGAAATGGTGAAATAAAAAGTGCAAAGGTATTTCAACACGTTGATTGTGGATGTGGATTAAAGTGTTTTTTAAGGGTATCGTTTGATGAGCGTAAAGCTTTGTTTGAGGAGTTTCATAAGATTGGTGATGTAACAAACCAAAAATTGTTTATTCTTGGAATGACAACTTTGCAAGAAATTGTTCGTAAACAAGGAAAAAATATAAGAAAAAGAACTGGAAATGTTCTTTATGTTTTACGTTCAGTTATCCCGGATAGTACACTAAAAGAAAAGGTATATTTAATTTTTTTTACCAAAATAAACTATTCAAATCAAATAATGTTCTTGATTCAGGTTTGCTTGACTTTTTTTTCCAACACTTTTATGGTGAATACGCGAACGATTCAGCGTTGGTCGAAAATTCGACAACCATCAAAATTAATCCACCAGAACCGTGGAAAACCCTCTTCTCGCAAAATTGATTACCCTGACGTCATGGAATTTATTAATAGCTATGAGCTATATGAATCTCATTATTGTCGTGCTAAACATGAAAATAAGAAATATCTTCCTCCAAATTATACTATCAGACGTTTTTATGAAGACTATACGTCACATTGCAATTTGAAAGGAAAAGTTCCAACTGTTACAGAAGAAAAGTTTTATGATATTATACAATATGAAACTGAGATATCGATCCATGTACCTTTGCAAGATACCTGTGCCAGTTGTGATAAATTGAAAGTCCAAATTCAACACGCGAAAGATGCAGGCAAGCGGAATAAGTTAAACGCTCAAAAAAAAGAACATTTGACAGATGTAGACATTGTAAAGCATCAATTTGATTTAGATAAAGAAAAGGCAGATGATGAATATTTTGTATACACTTTTGATCTTCAAAAAATGCTAGTTCTTCCAATATTGTCAACAAGTGTTGCTTATTACAAGCGAAACTTTAATTTGTACAATCTAGGCGTCCACCCTTTTCCAAAAAATGAGGACACAAGTATGTTCGTCTGGTCTGAAGTAGAAGGATCAAAAGGTGCAGAAGAAATACCGAGCTGTTTGATTAAATTTTTAAAGGAACACGCGGCTTCAGCTTCACACATCGTTTCATATTCAGACCGAGCAGGAGGACAAAATAGAAATATAAAAATAGTTCTGGCATTTTTGAGACTGCTCGCTGATCCTACTATGAAAGTTGAAACAATTGACTTAAAATATTTAATTTCGGGTCACTCACGATTGCCTAACGATCGTGATTTTGCATTGATTGAACGTAAAATTAAACAACATAGTGCAATTTTTCTTCCATCGCATTACATTGACATCATTAAAAGTGCACGCAATGAAAGCTTTAAAGTATATTCTATGACACGTGAAGATTTTCGTACAACAAAAGAACTTGAGGGCTCAATAACCAACAGGCGAATATCAAAAAGTAAAACTGTGGTCAATTGGATGAACTTTGCGTGGATTCGTTTGGAAAAAGATCATCCTTTCCAGATAAAATTCAAAAAAAATTTTATGGATGAAGATTTTTCAATAATTGACATAACAAAGCGTGGAAACAATCTGAAAAATTTATTTGAAGTTATCCCCAGCTTATTATATCCTAATGAACGTCGTATCACAGCTGCAAAAAAGAAAGATCTTCTCGATCTGCTTCCTTACATACCGGTTGAATATCACAACTTTTATGAAAATTTGGGGTCTTTAGACAATGATGAAGAATAATTTTTGAAACTTTCTTATTTTTACTATTTTTTAATAATAAATCTCAAAGTTTAAGCATTAAAAAGTTTTTCGTTTTATTATTCCTGTTTTTCTATTAAAAATTAAAGAAAAAATTTGGAAAATTCGTATGAAATTTTGTTTGAGTAAATTTCGGTCAAAATTAATGGATGAACCCCATATTATTGTATGTCGTTGAAAAGGTAATAAAAAAACAAGTAATATGCAAAAAGTTTAAAATCAATATCTATTATCGTTTTCAAATGAGAGCTGTTTTAGTAAATTTTGGTCAAAATTTATGGATGAACCCCATATTATTGTATGTTGTTACAAAGGGAATAAAAATACAAGTAATATGCAAAAAGTTTAAAATCAATATCTATTATCGTTTTCAAATGAGAGCTGTTTTAGTAAATTTCGGTCAAAATTTATGAATGAACCCCATATTATTGTATGTTGTTACAAAGGGAATAAAAATACAAGTAACATGCAAAAAGTTTGAAATCAATATCTATTATCGTTTTCAAATGAGAGCTGTTTTAGTAAATTTTGGTCAAAATTTATGAATGAACCCCATATTATTGTATGTTGTTACAAAGGGAATAAAAATACAAGTAACATGCAAAAAATTTGAAATCAATATCTATTATCGTTTTCAAATAAGAGCTACTTTAGTCAAAAACTTGGGGGCCGCAAAAAATGATGTTCCATACATTGGAAAAAATTTAATTAATGTTAAAGCTAACTGCAAATATATAGGCTTTCAGCCAAAAAAAGAATCATTGAAAATGGTTGAAAACTGTAAAAGTTATTCCAATTTACTTTTTTTAATTTTCTCACTAAGTTTGAACCGGTAAATTAACCGATAAAACCGGTTTAAAATTAATTTAATTAACATATTTTTAAAGATCAAATAAAGACCTTTCCAATGATGTACAATATGTCGGCAAAATTTTGAGTTATTGAAAATATATTTAATCGACAAGCTTGAAACTGCATGAAAATGTTTTTACGACATTTTCAATATGAATTACTCATGAGTTTGTAAACTTAGCTCTTTGGAGTCATACTGCTCTGATAAAAAATTCTTAGGTATGTCAATAGTAGCTATTGTGTCACAAGAAGAAGAACAAGAGTCTACTGACCTTTGAAGTTTGAGAAACACTGTATTAGACTCTAGAACTAGATTCAGATCTTGTAAAATGATTTAAATTTATACAAATTTGAAATTTCCATCGAGTTCCACCTAGATCTACATTTTACATCATGTCTAGACATCTGGATCAACAACACTGGGTAACAAATGTTGTATTTATAATTAACAATAGTTCCTATATACTAAATTGCGCAAAACAATTCCCAATAATTAATATCCAAAGTAAAAAATGAATTATTTAAATGCCTATTAAAAACTATCTTTTTCAGAAAGAATCATGACTGCACGTGCACCAATAACTTTATTAGCTGATCTCTGTTTTTGTCTTTTTTTACTGCTTAAACTCCACGAAATCGTAAATGTTCACACATGCAAATGATTAAATCCATTCAACCAAAAAAACTCATTAATTTTAACTTTGAGCTTTCTAAGTATTTTTTTGATTTAAGTCAGGTGCTTATGGAGATTTGAAATGAGGATGCTTTTTGGGAAATGAATCTTGAGCAGAATCGATAGTGAAATGAATCGAGTTTTGGTTTTTAACATCGATGCTGGACAGATTTAAGTATTGAAACTGAAATTCTTCAGAAATTTGAGTAAGTTTCGTCGTCATTACCATCATAATGCTGTCTGAAATTATTTATTATTTTCACAATTTAGTCCAATTTTAATGAACTGGTTATATCATTCTGTAACTTCTTTTGCACATCCAATAAACATTTTTTATGTCTTTTTATAACACTTAGTGCAATTTATGACTCAAATGCCTATATAACTTCAATGTCAATATTCTGCAATTTTTGACTCAGTCCGTCATACTTTATCTGCCATAAATTTTAATAATGTACGAAGAATTGAAGACGATACAAGAACACTTATGATTGAAGTGAATGTTAAATTGAAACTGACGTACGATTGTGTATATCTCACTACTTCTACAAAACACATTACTTCTTCTTACACGGACACCTTATCGATTTATTGATAACGAGCAGAATAAGCCAGTGTTACAATCTTTCGTTTATTTTGTTTGTTATTTACCTTGAATTTATGTCTCACACTCTTTTTTATATTTTTCGATAAATTCTTTTCAGAAAGCTAGTTCTTCAATTCTTTGTGTTGTAACTCTCAAAATGATTGAAAGAAAATGTTGTTTTTGAACAAAAACAGAAGAAATTTGTAATTTTTGTTCAACCTTTTCTTTGGATCTTCTTCTTTTTTTGTCAGACAGAGTCTCTCGGAAAAACATTTTTTCTCAATTCTTTTTTCACTATGACGACATTAATATAGAAGAGAAAAAAAGTGTGAGCACGAATAGGGAGAGATCGATTGTTGTCGGAAGAAATGAACGTAAATGATATGTTTTTCGAATTTAGACTCTTGTTGTTGTAGATGAATATGTTATAAACTTCTTTTTGGTATTTTAATTTGACTATTTTCTTCGTTACGTGTTGGATTAATGTGGGGGAAAATAAGAAGATCATTTACGTGAGATTTTTTAATAGATGTTGAATTTCTGTGAAATGAAGGAGGAATGAGTGTGTAGACATAAATTCATAGGAGCCGCTTAATTTAATTCTGTGGTATTTAATACTTTCGTTTCAAGAGCTGAGTGAGTTATTTGAACAATCTTTGGTTAGTTTTGAAAGCTTCAAATCGACTAGAGTCAACTTAATTTTATTTCTTTTAAAGAAAATTAACTTGAGCCACCTTAAACAGCACCCGTTTAAGTTTGGGCTTTTAGAACTACTCGAAATCGATTTTACCATTCTTTGGTAGGATGTCCTTGATAGCCTTTTTAAACCAGACCCTGCTATCAACACATCAAATTCAACCCATTTAAGAAAAAAGTAATTAAAATCATAAAAATTCAACATGTTAATTTCCATGCCCCAAAAAAGAAAATCTCAAAAGAAATCATTAAGGCATATATTTCATGCAGCAGCAGCATTGTTTATACGAGAAAAATCTTCATCATTCACATTTGCTCTCCATTTCTTCTTCTTCTTGCCTTACGAGTGAAAATTTTTCATCTAATGAGGCATAATGATGGCACTTGATGTTATTTTTTTCTTATTTCGTTATATCTTTTTCGCTCTCAACTCGCTCACAAAATAAAAATAAAATCTTCTCATTTCTAGTGCTGTTACACCTGTCCTCCACCCTAAATACATTTTCACTCGTACATTTATTATTTCTTCTACGTAGAGACGTGTTGTGATAGAAAAACAGAGAGGAATATACAACAAAAATATGTTATACGTATTTTGCCTGATGATGATGATGATGATGATGAAGAAGAAGAAGGAAAGAATTGTGAAAGAGCACCGACCGAATGTTGAAGAAAAATTTTTCTTAATTTCCCTTCTTGCTTGTGAAAAAAGAAAGAAAAACAAAAGAAGAAAAGCAAATGTCGAGTTGTGAGAGAGAATTACATTTACCCAACAACTATTGTAGCTATAGCTCTATTTAATGTATGTCTTTATGTCTTTATTTTACACACATATACATTCACACTCTAGTTTTTCATTCGGAATATTTTTTTTCCTATATTTCTTTTTATTATTTCATCATCAATTAATTGCAGAATGTTTTTCTTCACTTCACTGCTGGTTCTTCTTCTTCGCACGTCTTTAAAATTTATTTTCTTTTTCTTTTTCCTCTTCTCGAGAGTTGTAAAATGTTACCGATATACAGAAAATATTTCCATGCTTGAGATTTTAACGCAACGAGCTCGTACGGACGGTCTACGATCGAGGAAAATAAAAGCGTAACTAAAAATCACACACAAAAAAGGGATGTCGGAAGAAAAACTTCATTTTTTTCAAAAAAAAGAAACAATTTTTCAATGTGTTGTTGCTTATTGCAATGCACAAGAGATATATTGAGAATTGAGAGAGACACGAAATATTCCGAATATCCGACTATAAGTGGGGTTGTTTTCCGATATTGTTGTCGAAGCAACCGTAGCTGCTTATGTATGTGTGGTGTTTTATGCTTTTGTTGATTAAATTAATGTTAAAGATTTCTTCTGCATGCTCTATAAAAAATATGGACATGTTCTATAGAATTAGAGATAAAAATTTTTTTATGCTGTTTATGTTTGTGTGTGTGAGTGTTAGGACTTACAGCATATTGTTATCATTAAAGATCTCAGATAAAGAAAAAATCCGGCATTAGACATGAAATTCCTCTCATATCCTCTCACTCTCTCTCTTCTGCTGCTTTTGTGTGTTATAATCAAACAATACTGCTATTGCTGTGAATGATAATGAGCCGAAGTGATATGAGGGTAGAAAAATATCACGTGGAAAGAGGGCGAAGGTTAATGCTCAAATACACAAATACACACACAACAAAAAAAAAAGGCAAAGACAAAACCAAAAGTAAATAAAATTGGAATTGAAATTGAAATAAAATGTCTTGCAACTTTAACTGTGTTGGTGACAAACGATGACGACAATCTAGAAATTATCACGCTTGAGACGTGCATGAAGAATTTATTTGGTAACAGCAACAGCGATAATAAAAAAATATAAGAAGCATAAACAATTAAATTATATGAGCTATGCAGCAGCATGAAGGCAACAGAAGAAGAAGAATAAAAAATTTATTTATTTTGTTTGCAGCACAAAAATACGATGACGATTGTGCGGGATTTGATTAAAAATATGCTCCGTATTATTGTGACTGTATGTGTGTATATGTATAGTCGGGTGGATGATGGTTCTTCGGCGTTTTTCACTGCTCAACATGCTCGAGGAATGGTGATGAAGATTTTTACAATTTTTCTCTCTCTCTCTCTCTCACTTACTCACGGTTCCTCTCTCACTCTCTTATTCGGTTG